TATATATATATATAACCACTTGCACAAGGAAGTGTTATGAAATGTGATTGTACGTTTTAAATATTGGAATTAATATAATTATGCTTTCTTTGCAGTTTTTCAAGATGTCCACGTGATGATCTTTGTGGGCTTTGGCTTCTTGATGACATTTTTGAAGAGATATAGCTTCAGCAGTGTTGGCATCAATTTACTCATTGCAGCCTTTGGTCTCCAGTGGGGCACTTTAATGCAAGGCCTATGGCACTTACACGATGGAAAAATTGAGATTGGTATCAAAAGGTAAAATCATATATGCCATGCAAGCATTAAACACTTTTGAATATATTGTCTTTATTATTTTTCTATAGTCAGAACCAAAAAAAAATAAGTTTCCGGTGTACAGAAGATAGCGGATAGAAATATAGTACTTGTATATGCACCCTATGGAACCACAGCCAAATTTAATTTTTTTGGTTTATAATATTGACCCAAACCATTATAGATGACTATTTCTTGTTTTATTTATTAAATTAAATATCCTATATAAATAAGTTCTAAGATCTTAAAATGTCAGCTTATAAAATGTTTTAGGTAAATCAAATAAACTAACCAAAAGTCATTGTAGGGTCATAATTGCAAACTTGCCATGTCAATGCACAAAACTATAGATAGTAGTCATACTGTATAGCTACGAGTTGTTGTTTTTTTCAGAATTAAAAGGAGAACTATGGGGTTAGTGTTTTTCCCCATAGTTCTCTCAAGGGTCACGGGAGGACACAAACTAGTGTCCTCAAGTGACCCAAAGCTCAGTATATCGCGAGCTACAGCTCGCGGTATACTGTGACCGCCACAGCCCGGATGGATCCCGACATTACTGTCGAGATCCACCCAGCTGCGTGAGTGACAGCGGGCTCTGCCTATCCAGAAGCAGAACAAGCTGTACGCGCCCCTCCCCTGTCTGTTCCACCAGTCAGCGCTGGAGGATCGGAGCGGGGAATCCCTGCAGGGAGCCGTGAGTGGCAGTCACGGCTCTCTGCAGGGAGATGATCGGGAAGTGAGCAAGCGACAGTATGTGTTCAATCACTTCCCGATCTATTGAGCCGACCTGTGACAGTTTCATTGTCACACGTGGGCTCCAACTATGAGGATGAGTGATTTTCACTCACCTCATAGTTCTTCTTTAACTTTTATTAAGAATTTTACATAGGACAGGAAATATGAGAATACAAACATGGTGCATTAAACATCATATTCACAAGGAATGTACAAATAAGACAAGCAATCGCACAGTTGTTGCAAGTGTGTGTGTGGGGTGGGGAGGCATATATAAACAAGGGCAAAATCACTAACAGGCCCCAGATACCCCACTCATAATAAATGTATACATATTTGATGTTTATTAATGCAACCCAGTTGTATCTTTCATATTTAGTAGAAAATGTCGTGTGTGTGTGTGTGTGTGTGTGTGTGTGTTAATACCAATTTTAATATATTTTTAAATGCCTAAAATCTCATTTTAATAGATATTTGCACACTGGTCATGGGGCTTCTGAACCAGTAAATATGACAATATATTTCTATTTCAGCATCTTATTTCATAACTATCATTGGTTTGTGAGATGGTTAGCATACTTTAGTCTGTGATTTTTTGATAAAATTAATAGCTTGGCTCTTTAAGGTGCAAAATGGGGAGCAACCGAAGCCAGCTTAAAGCACAAGGCACCATTGGTGCGCACTTATTTTTAAAAAGATTGTAGTCCATCGGGGGCGGGGGAGCTTGGAGCGGTGACTACTTTACAACACACAGGGACCACGGGGAACAAAAGTAGCCCCCCTCCAGAAGGAAGGACAGTGTCGGCACCAATTCAGAGATGATTGGAGGATCTACAGCCGAGTGATACACAAATAAGATACATTGTTGTTTCTAGTTCAGGTACTTGAAAGTATTTTTAGGATTTAACTCCTGAGTTTAGTGTTACTTTAAATATCATGCATATGCATGTGTATAATAAATCAACCCCATAGCTGTACCGTATTCACTAAAATATGTGAAGTCTTGATAGCTGTATAGTCTTTAACCTTTCAATAAACCAACCCCTTGGTATGACATTTGCTGGATTATTTGGTGAAATTCCAAAAAATAGCAGGTCACATTTAAACACCTTTGACAGGAACACTTCCTATGCTCACTCAGTTCTGTTTCCTTTGTTGGTTTCCCATTCTCAGTGAATTGACACAAAAAATCATCAAGGTCTGCTGTAAATCTCTCCAAAAACATTTCTTACCTCCATTTCACCCATCGTCCATGAAAAGTTATTTCTCCTTCCTGTAACCTCTGTCGCCCTGGACATCTCTCACTTCTGACCTGTAGCAGTTGTGTGTAATAGTTTTCCGGATCTCTGAACGTTCATCTGATGTATCTGGCCATCAGGGGCAAAGAAACGTATTATAGGCATCCTACATAACGAAATACCTCTTCCCCTTTCCTCTACTAAATCTTTGTAAGGAAAGATATTGACTTCACTTTATAAACAACAGAGGAAAGGGAGACAAGAAGTTTGTGAAGACTCTCATTTATCCAGGCCATGGTGTAGCTGGTAAAAGTTAGTCACAATTATATGGACTGGTTTTGTGATGTTGAAGATTTTTCACAGCTTATCCTATCCACATTCATACATCTAATTATATATCCCAACATTTATATCCACCAAGGTAGCACAGACACCTTATATACAATCACCATTGAATGTGTAGATGTTGATCGTCCAAAAACAGCATGGGAGATGTAAAAGTTGTGGAACCACCATGTTCTAGATTCATAATCCCGTCCTTGGTGTCAGGAAGTTATTAAATTAATTCATTAACATACACACATTTAGCTAAAGTTTTGAATTGTTGTCAGATTGCTGGAGGAGAAATATTAAATCAGCATTATATGTAGAAGGCAGATGGTGTTGAGGGCCCTCAACCCTGTTTAGAGATGGTTGTTCCAGTTTGACGTAGATAGCCTCTTTCTTGCCTCTTGTCAACCAGTTGTCCTCTATCAAAAATGTCCACCTCGCTGTCCTCGAGAGAAAGTCCTTCTTCTTTAAGCTGTACGAAGACTGTCCCGGCCTGCAGGATTTGCCCTTTGTTGGGCCATTTGTTTTTCTGAGAGAATGTTGATATAAAGGTTGGAGTATGCCCCCAACAATCATTGTACTCTAACAAAAGACGTGGCTTGGAGAAGGTACAATATGTCTTCACTATTACGGACATTCAGTAACATGGACAGGGGAAAGGATGACATCACTGCACTTGTATTCCATTGAGGATTCCATCTTGCTTCTTCATTGATCTCAGCGGCGCCATCCGCTGTCATTTTAGCACCCGCCTCTAAGGGGTTTCCGGGAAGGTGTGTGGTGGGATGCTCATTGGACTATAAGTGCCTCTGATGAGGTGGCTTTCACAGGATCTGCAGCATGGTTTTGTGGGTGTTGCAATGCACAGCTGCATTGAATTAAAACATTCATACCAGAACCCCATATTTCAGGAAAGGGGGGTTACACCCTGAATATGGGTGTAACATGAAACTTGGCCAGAAAAGTGAACTTAGCCATTAATACAGTCATGTAAAAATATTTAAAATGACCCTTTACATATGATTATTTGTAGTAGCGTTATCTGTCATGATATCAACCCTGATTTCATGCACAGCAGAATTCACAAGGAGACAGGGATGGGGGGAGTAAACAAGTCCCTACTGTATTCCACAGTGCTGTCAGTCTAATACAATGAATGCATGTACAAGAGAGGCCAGCAGAGTGATCACCACATCAAGGTGCTTCCACTCCCCATTGTCCAATCAGCAAGCTAGGAGGGCTAGAGATCCAGCTGTATTAGTTTACTTCAGTGGAGAAAACCTAGCTATGCTGTCTGGCAGGGGTGTTTAGAGAGGGATCTTTAAGGAGACTCAGGGGGTTATTCACAGAGGAGCCGAAGGATCCAGCTGTGACTACAGCTCTCTCTACGGCCGCCGGAGCCCTTTGGTTCACCTCGCAAATGACAGCTGGGCGGAGCCAGTTGTAATAACAGTTCAACATCCCCAAATGACCTGGGGACGCTGAACTGTCATTAAACAACATCTGGGCGGAGCCGGCAGTGATGGCATGGCCGGCTCCGCCCAGTTGCTATTCATTGGCCGGGACTTGCTAGAAGACTCTAGCAGGTGCCAGCCAATAGGAAACAGTTGGTTGGAGCTAGCTGTCGCTGCTAGCTCTGCCCAATTGTTGTTGTTTTTTTTTTTATTTATTAATTTATTTACATTTTAGAAATATTTTTTTAACCTTTTTTTTTTTTTTTCTCCATTTTTTTAAAAACTATTTTCTGTTCTGCACGGTACCACAGAGGTACCGAGCAGAATGCCGCTCACTCACTGCCGTCCAGCCCCTATGAGAATAGGGGTGAACGGCAGCGAGTGAGCTGCCAGAGCTTCTGCTCAGCCGATCCAGATGTTGGATTGGCTGAGCCTAAAGGTGCCCATACACTTTACACACCGGCCCGTTCGGCAGTGATCTCTCGATCATGTTAAAAACCAGCCGAAAATCGTACGATTCTCAGCTGGTTTTCCAACATGCTCGATATACAAAAGTCGTGCGACAGTACATTAGAAACGGTTGCACGCCTTCCATACACTGCACGATTCTCGTACGATCGCGGGATGTCCCGCGATTCTCGTACAGTGTATGGGCACCTTAAGTCCCTCTGTAAGGCTGAAATGCATCTGTACTGTATGAGCATCTATGTAACATGCTTACCCGGTTTGTGCAGGCTGATAAGATCTCCATTACAAATCTCTGCCTGCACTTGACTCCAGTGCTGTGCAGCCAGCTTTAAGGTGCCCATACACCTTACGATTATCGTACGATAATCGTATGCGATCGACTTTTCGTACGACAATCGTAACGTGTGAATAGAGTGCCCGACCGATAGTACTGTACAATCGTACGACTTTTGACGGTCAAGCATGTTTGAAAACTTTGGTTGATCGTACGATGTTCGCATAGTTGGTGGCGTTTCCGTCCGTCAAAAGTCGTACGATTAACACTGCGCATGCGCAAACGAAAATAATTGCAGTCAATTACCGCAAGTCGTCCAGGTGTTTTTTCTAACTACCGCTGATTGAACCTTGCGATAATCGGGGCAGGATGGGGCCGTCGTACGAAAATCGTACGACGGTTCGATCATCGGACGAAAAGTTTCGTCCGATAATCGTAAGGTGTATGGGCACCTTTACTCTCCTACACACTGCCAATGATTGCCCTGCTGATTTCTCACCTGTACCTTTTTCCAGGATTCAGCAGTCTGTTCTCCTTCTGCAGGCTCCCAAGGCTAGCTTCCTCTCCACCAGCTCAGACTGCTGCATACCAACATCCTCTAGTGTTAGCCGCACAGTATCCGCACCCAATCTAAAATGGCAAACAGTTACAGAGGATGTGTGCATTTTTAAACCTAACACCACACCTCCTCTGGGAGGTGCTACCTGAGCCCTATAAAGCACTGCGGCGCAGTGAGCTCAGTTGTTGTAGAGCTACTGTGCGAATGCTTCTATAGTTATTATTGGCCTGGCCCTGTCCTTAGCCTGTTAACCATCTAAGCTAAGCTGCCAGCCTGACTTTTGGAACTGTCTGACAACGCTTCTGTATTTCCCTTTTGTACTGCACATCCGGTATTCCCTTAGCAGGAGGCCTGTCCGTTTATTAGACTTGTGCGCCGTCAAAAAATTTGTTCCGTTTCGTTCTGTTTCGGAACATCGGTTATTTCGTATTTCGTAATTCGTGTCCGAAACTCAATTCGGATTCGTACGAAATACAAATTTTCGTTAGTTTCGGCACATTTTCGTAACTTTACGAACATTCGTTATATTGAAGTTAAAAAGCAAAGTACATTTATATTGGAGTTGATGGTAGTTTTTTTTTATCCGAAATACGAAATTCGGATCCGGAATCCGTTAACGGAATTCGTATTTCGGATTAAAAAAAAAAACTTGTCATGTTGTTTAACCTCATTTACATTTTACAGGGGTAATATTAGTTCCTGTTTCAAAGAAATTCGGATCCGAAATTCGTTAACGGAATTTCGTATTTCCTGCCTGTGTATTGTAATGCGACTCTCAGCAGCAGCGGATCCGTATTTCGGATTAAAAAAAAAAAACTTGTCATGTTGTTTAACCTCATTTACATTTTACAGGGGTAATATTAGTTCCTGTTTCAAAGAAATTCGGATCCAAAATTCGTTAACGGAATTTCGTATTTCGGATATAATTCGGAAACTGCAATTCGGATTTCGGATGCTTACGAATCTCCGAATTTCAGGAAAATTCGTACGAATTTCGATTCGTAACGAAACGAATCGCACATGTCTACCGTTTATACATACCACCTGTCCTGTCTAGTGGCCATATGAGTATCCCTGCTATTGAGCTCCATCCTAACCACATACCTGATGATATATGCCAGTGCTTGCATAAACATGCACATGAATGTAACGGTTGGGATTCGGAGTTGTATGCCGGTGAGCACCCGTGTATACAGCTGTGCGTGTGTGTTTGTATGTATAATAAATATATATATATATAATTTTGTCAAGTAAGAGTTCACACGCTGGTATTTGGAATGTGTATAATACGGTTTGCGTGTTATGGTGATGTTTAAAAAAGATGGTTACGATTCTGTGTTCTATTGTACACTGAGTTCTATTGTACACTGAGTGGCCAGATTATTATGACCACCCCATCAGTACTTCGTTGGGTTCAAAGGCTGTTACATCGCGTTGTTTACCCGTATCTTCAGAAACAAATCACTTCTACTGTCGTGTTAAACAACCCGCTTCCCTATTTATAATGGTCTGGCCCTCTAGCAACTTCAGCGCCAAATTATAGCTAATTTGCCTACAAACGTCAGGTGGTCATAATAAGCAGGCCACTCAGTGTACACTACAATGGTGGCACCTCCCAAGGTGTGAGATACCTTTGCTTATCCTTTGCTAATAGTAACTTTTCTTTCTTTTTTTTTCCAGCATGATTAATGCCGACTTCAGCACAGCAACTGTTTTAATCTCCTTTGGAGCCGTTCTGGGGAAAACAAGTCCTGTTCAGATGTTGATAATGGCCGTGTTAGAAATCTTCATCTTTGCATGTAACGAGCATCTTGTTGGCTTTTTGGGGGTAAGTTTATGTGCGACTGTTTATTTCAGTGAAATATGTTTTTAACTTCAAAGAGCTATGTAGGTAGCAGTACATTACAGTTTCCATAACTGTACCGAAAGATATTCAACAATTCTGGCAATGTCGTTCTTTGTGGGTCGCCATTTTAGGCAAATTCACCATTGTAGTAACTGGGAATGAAAGGATAGCTAAATCCCCCAAAAATAAAATGATATATATGATATACACACATACACACCGATCAGCCTAAACATTCTAACCAATGAGCGGTGAAGTGAATAACATTGAATATCTTGTTACAATGGCACCTGGAAGTGGGGGGGATATATTAGGCAACAAGTGAACATTGTGTCCCTGAAGTTGATATGTTGGAAGCAGAAATAATGGGCAGCTTTGTCAATGGGCCAAATTGTGATTGCTTGACAACTGGGTCAGGGCAACTCCAAAAATGCAGCTCTTGTGGGATGTGCCTGGTCTGCAGTGGTCAGGACCGACCAAAAGTGGTCCAAAGAAGGAAAAATCTGTGAACCCGCCACATGGTCATGGGAGGCCAAAGCTCACTGGGGGAGAGGAGTCTGGCCTGTGTAGTCTGATCCAATACAAGAGCTACTGTAGTCCGAATTGTTAAAAAAAGTTAATGTTGGTTCTGATAGAAAGGTGTCTGAACACAAAGTGCATGGCAGTTTGTTGCGTATGGGGCTACATAGCCACAGACCAGTCAGAGTGCCCATGCTGACTCGTGTCCACTGCCAAAAGCGCCTATAATGGGCAGGTGAGCATCAAAACTGGACCACAGAGCAATGGAAGAAAGTGTCCTAGTCTGATGAATCACATTTTCTGTGACATCATGTAGATTGGCGGGTGCTTGTGTGTTGCTTTCATGGGGAAGAGATGACACCAAGGAAAGACAAGCCTGATCCATGGAGGACCCACCTTGCAACTCACAGGACTTAAAGGATCTGCTACTGAAGGCTTGGTGCCGTATACCACAGCATACCTTCAGAGGTCTAGTGGAGTCCATGCCTCAATGGGTAGGGGCTGTTTTGGAAGCAAAAGAGGGGCGTACGCAATGTTAGGTAGGTGGTCATAATGTTATGGCTGATCATTGTATATTGTAGCTTACTGGTTTGCCATCCTTCCATAGTCCTTACTCTGTACTGAACTTATTTATCAAACAATCTTATCAGTTTTCCTAGCTACCGTCAATGAACTACAAAATAACCCCTCTGTATGTAATGGAGATCAGGGGAGAATGGGTTAGTAGTCCAAATTAGTAGAGCAGCCTAAGGTGACAACCATGAGTCCCTCCATTAATACCGGGGAGGAGAGAGCATAGGCATCTTATTTTCAGGATCACCAGGTGGAAATAAAGGAAAAAATAAAGGGCACTGCACTGTACAGAACTCATTTGCAGTAATGGTATTGCAGCTCTGGATATTGCATGGGCTGCTGCCAATATGTGCACTTGTGTCTTATTATCTGCCATATGTGGGCGGGACATCATATGATCCTCTACCCACATAACTTCCTGTTTGTGCACTTTTTTCATGGTCAGTGAACTCTTGTGGTGGAACAGGATGTGAACTCAAGTGCTCCCCATACCAGTTAAAATTTCAAACAAGCCTACCAAACATGAGTGCTAACAATGGCTTATAAAAGAGAAGAAGACAGAAAACATGGTTGGACTCTATCAATCTCTACCCTTCTCTTGCCAAAGATAACTAAAGTTCAGTAGACTCTAACAGGTTTTAGACACTGTAGGGCCTTGGTTCTCAACTGGTGGGTCGTGACCCAAAAGTGGGTTGTGACCCCGTGTTCAGTGGGTCACCGCGTGCCTTCCACTTTTCTAGGTGAGAGGCTCCACAGCCTCCCCCTAGTGCAGCACTGTGAGTTCTCGTGCCAAGCAGCCATTCATATGCTGCTCGGTGCCGAGTGCCAGCTTGAGGCGGGATGGGATGGGGCTATGGTCGCGAGGGAGCTCCATCCATACCTGCATTGCTTACAGCTTCCTCCCATGTCCTGTAGAGGTGCCTGGACCAAAGTGACGTCACATTCTGGCTCTCTGCACCTCTACAGAAAAATGGTCAGCAGCACTCCAGGTTTTCTTCAAAACAAAATCCTTTTATTCATTCATGCAGGTCATATCACTATGCGTGGCAACGTTTCGGAACCTGTCCGGTCCCTTCATCAGGCAAACAAAAGTTACTTTTTTGCCTGATGAAGGGATGGGACAAGTTCCGAAACATTTCCACGCATAGTGATATGACCTGCATGAATGAATAAAAGGATTTCGTTTTGAAGAAAACCTGGAGTGCTGCTGACCATTTTTGTGTTTAGCAAGTATTTAGCGGCGCCATCCGTGGCCACTTTCGCACCCCCCACCCCCACATTGTATGGGGCTTCTCGATCAGGAGTGCGGTGGGACTCTCTCTTTGATGGCATCTCTACAGGGTGCACAAGGAGGTTGTACAGACAATGCACACATGGATGGAGCTCCAGCACAGCGGCCCACACTGGACCCCAGGCTGAGGATCCACTCCAGTTCTCGTAAGATAGGGAGAATGGTGGGATCTTAAAAATAAAATGAGTGTGAGAGATTGTGCCTGTGGTTGTGTGTGTCTGTCAGTGTTTTTGAGGGCCAGTTTACACTAGCACAGTATGTTAATCGAACAGTCCTGTGCAATTAACGCACTGTACCATGCAATCGGACCTACTACGTGTTCTGGTGTGGGAGGTGTGTTGCGTTGCCATTCATTTGAATGGTACCCCAAACACACCTTCGCCCTCAGTTCAATCGCCTGCACTGGAACGTGCAATACCGCAATCCCATGCGTTCCAGTGCAGTGCAACTTGGGTTGCAACTTAATGACCAAGGACAAATGTGGGTCCCGAGGAACCACATCCAATCACTATCCAAATCCTGCCGCCTTCACCTTTGTAACATCTCCAAAATACGCCCCTTCCTCACCAATTACACTGCAAAATTACTCATCCACTCGCTGGTTATATCTCGTCATGATTATTGCAACTCCCTCCTCAATGGCCGACCTCTACACAGGCTCCTCCCCCCTTCAGTCTATCATGAATGCTGCTGCTAGACTCATCCACCTAACCAACCGCTCAGTGTCTGCAACCCCCCTCTACCAATCCCTGCACTGTCTTCCATCCCCCACCCCCCTCTGTCAATCCCTGCACTGGCTTCCAATAGCCCAAAGGATAAAATTCAAAATATTAACAATCACTTATAAAGCCGTCCACAACTCCGCCCCCGGCTATATCTCAAACCTGGTCTCAAAGTGTCACCCTAACCGTCGGCTCCGCTCATCCCAAGACCTCGTGCTTTCCAGCTACCTTGTCAACTCTTCCCATGCTCGCCTCCAGGACTTCTCTAGAGTCTCTCTCATCCTCTGGAATTCTTTACCCCAACCTGTCCATCTGTCGCCCACCTTGACTGCCTTTAGGCATTCCCTAATGACTCATCTCTTCAGGGAAGCCTATCCCACCTCAACCTAACCGCTCAACCATCACGTTCTCAAACAACTCATCCCCACACAGCTCCCTCCTCATGTATCACTTCCCCTCCCCTTTTAGATTGTAAGCTCTCAGGGGCAGGGCCCTCCTTACCATCTTGTCTTGATTTGTATTGTGATTGTAATGTCTTCCCTATATTGTAAAGCGTTGCGCAAACTGTTGGCGCTATATCAATCCTGTATAATAATAATAACCACTGCTGTAGGGTATGGTTTAAGGGATAGAAATAGTGATGGGTCAAAAATTAGGTCACAATGTTAGAGAAAACCACCAAGAGAAAAAAACACAGTTGCACATTTGTTTCTGTATTAAACTCCTACAACATGGTTATCAGTAGCTTTGGGTGTTTTACAGGCCACTGATGTTGGAGCATCCATGACCATCCACACGTTCGGAGCTTACTTTGGTTTGGCTGCGTCAGCAGTCCTGTATCGCTCTGGTCTGAAGAAGGGCCACGAGAATGAAGGATCAGTCTATCACTCAGACCTGTTTGCTATGATCGGTAAGAGATCTAGGTTTCCTTGTTACTCTTTTCTTCCAGTTCATTCTGTGATAGAACTTTATAGGGTACTCCAATCAAACAGAAGACAATAGTTTGGGCCCAAACTAAGCCAGAAGAATATGGTGGTTCCCAAAGCCATTTGATGTTACACAGCGCATAAATGCCTCCAAAGTAAACACTACAGGAAGAAGATTCTCTCTGAATTGGTACACATTGGTCCCCCACCAATGTGTACCAATTTATCAAAACTGGAGCAACCAAAATCTGGAGCAGCTCTGCATGGCAACCAATTAACTTCTATCTTCAGTTTGGTCAGTTAAGATTTGAAAATGAAAGAGAGAAGCTGATTGGTTGCAGTGCACATCTGCTCAGATTCCAGGACCTGGGGTGGCCCATATTGGCACATTGGCTTATCTGACAAATCTGGACAGGCCACAGATTAATAGGTGTCATAATGTTTGCTTCTAACTATTGGACCGTGTTGGATCCCAGTGCTTTGAGAAAGTGTGCTTCTAAGCACAAGAAACAGTTGTTGGCCCGATGTTTTTTTATTGTTTTTAGTCTTTGCTAAGTTTTTTTTTTGCATTTGGCTCGGCTATTCTGCTCGGTACCTCCTTGGTACCGAGCAGAATAGCAAATCAGTGAAAATAGTGTATATATATATATATA